GGTTCAAAGAAGTTGTCAGCCAAGCACCACTGACACAACAACAAAGAACTTTTCAGCCAATTAAAGTGACTTTTCAAAGATCTAACAGTCCAACAGCGAACTGAATTAACTGTCCAGAGGGGGTCCTAGAGTTTGTCCACAGCGAGAACATCCAGTCAAGTCTTGCTATATGCTGAGATGAACTGCTGCACAAAGCTGAACTGGTCTCCAGACCGAGGGAGACAAACTGAAGACTGAAAGGCTTAAAGAACGAGCTGGTGGTCACTCTGTCCAAGGTCACTAACATCAACTGCAGCCTGACGAAGGTGTCAACCCCACATTTGGTCTGTGAAGGTCATCTAGGTGCCTTGGCGTCGTGATCAAAACTACAGTTGGCTTTGATAATAATCACTCACATAGACTCATTTTAGGACATGTGACACAACATGACACAGAAGTACTGATGTGGGAGTGCTAGATGATTCACCCTTCTCCAACTGCTCTGAGATGAAAATTGTTTTATTACCTCTAATGCTCCACACCCCTGAGCAAAATATTAATTTTAACTTTCCGTTTATACAGGTCAGGAAGTCTCATTCAAGAGAAACTGGTGCCTGAGACCTGATTTGGATGAAGTTCACTAATGTTTTCTAAAATGATACTGAATGATTGTCTTTGCCTTGAAGGAGCACATGTGGTGGGTCTGGTTTGTTACAAGGGATGCAATTTATTTAATGGTTAACTCTTTGCTAAATTATAGGAGAGCTTGTGTTGTATTTGGCTGTTTGTTTGCAAAACCTGGGTTGAATAACAGTAGTGGAAAGATTAAAACTACACCATATTTTATAGTTCTGAAACTAATATTCAAACTGAGTGTTAGTGGATTACAGAAGGTAATATTTCATATTTGAAACAGAGAACTGTTTCATAGGGGGTAGGTGAAGGCTGCTCTTAGCAGGGAACAGTTCATACAATGATTAGATCATTACAAAATATACAAAAATAACTTCTTAGGGTTTTATAATTTAAAAAAAAAGTAGTAAGTCTGAAGCGATTAAAGGATCATGTAGGATAATCACATTGACATTTGAGAAGTGGAATAAATCAGAAGCCTACAAAACGACATTGCACTTGTATATTGTAGATATCGGTTTAACAACAGTATTTTTTTTCTTTCTTTCTTTCTTTCTTTCTTTGTTGTAATGTGTACAGATTCCATAAAAGAGGGACGCCCCTAGCCTGAAGTGGATTTGAGCAAAGGTTAAGGGGAAATGGGGTGGTTTGATAATTTTAAACACAACTGACTTGACTGGACTGGACTGGACTTATAGTTTAATTGGGCTAATAATAAAAGGTTTCATGAACAAAGGATTTTAACCATTTTTTTCCTCGTTCTCTTTCTCTCTCTTTCTTCTTTGCTATTTCTTCCCTTCTCTAGCACAGACAGGTACCTGGATGGAAGATTAAATTCTTTTTTTTCTCTCACAGTGTTGTATGTCAGTTGTTTAAACTTTTAAGTTTATATTGTATTTTGATTGATGCTGTTGGCGCAAGCGATTTAATGAAGTTACTTCTACAGGCTCCAGGAGGAGGGAGGCCGGCGTGGGGGATGATTGTTTATTGTTGTTGTGGTGTGTATGTTGAATTTTAATTGTAGGTAGACCGGTTGACGGCAAAGGCTTGTAAGGGTGACAGATGGGACGAGAGTACACAGGTATCACTGGAGAAGTCCAGTATGTAACACAATTCAGTTTCAAGTGTATAGATGCATGTAAGAATAGCATTTTATTTTAGTTTTACAAATTCTGTTTTAGGATAACATTACAGTGTAATAATACACCTATCAGTAACAATAATAACCATCAGGGTGTCCAATAATTCAGAAACAGGTTTTATTCACTAAAGAAGTAACCACAGTCAGTTTTTCCAAGCCCACAAATGGGTCATGGATCCCACAGATAAAATAATCAAAAGGCCATGCAGGGTGCTTAACAATTCGCAAGCTTTGGTGTCCAGCTTTTCTCACCAGGAGGGAGAATCTCTGACTGAGGAGACAGACTCACATCAGACTGGGTCCTGCTGAAAAGAGGGACA